AAAAAAAAAAAAAAAAAAAAAAAAAAAAAAAAAAAAAAAAAAAAAAAAAAAAAAAAAAAAAAAAAAAAAAAAAAAAAAAAAAAAAAAAAAAGGTGCCAGCAGCTGGGAGATGGGACGGAGTCCCGGATTGACCCCCTGCGGCATAAGTGGTCCCCCCCCCCGCCCCCTCCCCCCCCCTGCCAACTTCAGTCTCGCAGGAGAGCACATACTTATTCGAATACAAGACTAAAGGGGGCTGCACAGGAATGTAGTTCGGACTGACTCCCACAATGCTGGCCACATACAGATTTACAGAGAAAAGGGACCAGGGGCTCCCCTGGGCAGTTGGCCGGCCTTGTGGAAAGCTCTGAAACACATCCCTTCGCAGAGACACGCCAGCCGGTTGTGGCTTCAGAAATTGTCTGTAATCCCCATTGCTCTCTGGCTTTCCGCCACCAGAGGAGGATTGGGGATATTTCTATTACTAGCTCTCTATGCAAATGGGGTTGGGAGGCTAGTGGTCATCTATGGGTGCAATGCCCGCTGGCGGATGACATTTGGATATGGTGGATAGTTCAGTGGGAAAAAACTGGTTGGGCGGCCTTTCATAGGAATGAGTGAAATTTGGACAGCCAGAAATTCACTCAAAGGTGAAACTTTTTCACCCTGGAAGACGGTAACTTTTTCACCCTGGAAGACACCGTCTTCAAGGGTGAAAAAGTTACCGTCGTCCAACAGTAACAGTAACAGCAGATTCGTTACAACTTACACCGCCAGTACTTCCTAAAGTCGTGCCCCTTAACGCGCCACAATTTTAGGAAACGTACGGGCCACTACAGGAGCGACCAAATTCATCCAACTAGAAACGTTTCTACTCTATTTTTTTCGGCAGCTGATAGCTGGGCCAAGTACTGGTGGTATAAGATATACATGATACTAGCAGATTGGAAGAGATGTTCAGGGCACGAGGGCAAATCTTGCTTATGGTTTCGTAAGACGTTGGCTCGGGGCAACCAACTGGCCAAGATCTCAAGTGAGGGCAAGTTGGTACCCTCCAGTTGGCTGAGGCCGGATTAGGCCTAAAGGCAGGAGACGTCCATCAGATTGTTTTCCATTCGCCTATCATTGATCATTGGATTGAAAAAAAGAAAAAAAAAAAAGAAAAAAAATGATGCCTGATTCGCCCAAGAGATGTAGGCCTGACAACCATGACTCACGGCTGGCTAAACATAGGAGATTCATCGGACATTGATTCTTAGTTTGGAAATCTCAAATTGCGAACCAGACAAGGAATTTAGTGGAATTATCCCGCTGGACTTAGCAGATTCATCGGACATTGATTCCGCGTTTCAATTATGAGGCGGCCAATATGATATTGAGAGTAAGGAGGGGGGTTGGGGGGAAGGGGGGGGGGAGAGGGGGGGAGGGAGGGGACATATTTCCTCAAGAAGATGGTTAAGGTGGGGAGATTCATCAGGCATGGATT